CCGGAGCACCACGGCTGGGGACCCCCCGAGCCCCCCCCGGGGCCCTGGGGAGACACATCCCACCCGCGGGGGTGTCCCGGGCCCCCGGGTCCCGCGGATGAAGCACCCCCTGTCCCGGGACACCGGCCCCCGGTTCAGCCCGGTGGCTTTCCCCCGGCTCTGCGCTCTCCCCCCGCAGCGGGGGAGGGGGGGGGTCGGTCCCAAGGGCTCAGCGTTTGCCCCGGGTTACTTCTGGCAGATTTGGGGGAGCCGGCACCCCGATGTGCCAGCGAGGGGCTGGGGTTCCTGGTGCCCTTCGGCTGCCCTGAGCCCTGGTCCCCCCTCGGGGACCTCGGGGAGCCCGGGGGGGGGGGCGGCAGCGCAGGGGTCGGCTCCGCAGTGCTGCGACCTTGGGGTGTTTCGGGGCGTTCGGGCCGCGTTACGGTGCCCAGCAGTCGGGGTCCTCACCCGGGTGGGGGTCCTGGCTGTGCCGTCAGGGCCACCTTTGGGTGGGCACCTCAGCCCCTCATTGGGGACCCCCCAGTCAGCATCTACAAGCGGGTTTGTGGGTGCCCCAGGGAGCTGGGGGGTGGTGGGGCCAGCGGGCAGGTTTGCCTGGGAGGTGCCTGGGTGGCAGAGCACGGGGCTTTCCGCAGCACAGAGGGGTGCCAGGGGGTGCCCTTTGATGCTGGTGTCCCCTGGGGGGGTGGGGAGAGCGCTGGCATCCTCCTCGATGGCTCTGCTGCTGCAGCTCTGCCGGGGACAGCCTGGAGCCCCTGGACAGTCAGCATCTACAAGCGGGTTTGTGGGTGCCCCAGGGAGCTGGGGGGTGGTGGGGCCAGCGGGCAGGTTTGCCTGGGAGGTGCCTGGGTGGCAGAGCACGGGGCTTTCCGCAGCACAGAGGGGTGCCAGGGGGTGCCCTTTGATGCTGGTGTCCCCTGGGGGGGTGGGGAGAGCGCTGGCATCCTCCTCGATGGCTCTGCTGCTGCAGCTCTGCCGGGGACAGCCTGGAGCCCCTGGATTTGATGGGACCCAGGGCCGGGGACGCCGGGCACCGCGCTCGCAGGGCTCGGACGTGGCCCTTATCTGGTGCCACCACCCTGGGAACCCGCTGCACGCTCAGCTCCAGCGAATTTCCTTTTTCTGTTTTTGTTTCTTTCCTGCTGACGTTTTTCCCCTCCGGAATAAAGGGCTGGATGGAGACCATGGTTACTGGGGGGGGTGTGGGCAGCCAGGCCCCATGGTCGGGGTGGCACCGGGCAGTGGGACGGTGATGCCCAAATCACCCTCCAGCCCCGGTCCCCTCGAAAGGGGAAATTTGATGGGACCCAGGGCCGGGGACGCCGGGCACCGCGCTCGCAGGGCTCGGACGTGGCCCTTATCTGGTGCCACCACCCTGGGAACCCGCTGCACGCTCAGCTCCAGCGAATTTCCTTTTTCTGTTTTTGTTTCTTTCCTGCTGACGTTTTTCCCCTCCGGAATAAAGGGCTGGATGGAGACCATGGTTACTGGGGGGGGTGTGGGCAGCCGGGCCCCGCTGTCGGGGTGGCACGGTGGGACGGTGATGCCCAGTCACCCTCCAGCCCCGGTCCCCTCGAAAGGGGAAAACCTGATGTGTGTGTGCGTGCGCCCTGGGCGCTGCCGGGGAGCGGGATCCTGCTCTGCCCCTGCCCACACGTGTTTCCCAGTGCCTTCCCTGGGGCCTGCCCACCACGGCTGCTTACCAGGAGCCCCGGGCTCTCCCGTTGGCGTGTGGCACCGGCCGCCGCCGCCGCAGGATGTGCCGGTCTCCTGCGAGCGAGCGACCAACCAAACCGGCGGTGACCTTGGCGGGGCCGGAGCTCACCCCCCCCTTGGCTCAGCCCGAGCCGTCTCCGTTTGTTACAGCCCAGCTGCCGGTGCGTGGGAGATGGACCTTCCCTCGAGACCCCGTCCTGCCACGCAGGGGCCCTGGGGGAGGCTGTTTGGGGTAGAGGATGGGGGGGATGAGTGAGCCCTGTCCCCACCCCACGGTCAGGATGTACCAGGGGTGATGCTCGCAGCTGGTACAGCACCGGTTCTGCCTCCTGCTCTGACACCTTCTTCCCCTCCCTGTCTCCCTCCCAGATGCACCGGGTCCAAGCGAAACCACGGCGGGTGAGAGCCACGGGGCCAGCGGCAGCGTGAGGAGGGAAGGCAGCGTGGCACCATGCCTGCGGCAGAGGGGGTCCTCCTCCGCTCGGTGACCATGTGGCTGCTCCTGCAGAGCCTCCTCCTCCTGGCCTCCTGCCTCCGCTCCGCCGCCGCGTTCCCCAAGGGCTGCTACCCCTCGGAAGAGGAGGGGCTGAAGACCTTCCGCTGCAGCAACGCTCGGCTCACCGAGGTCCCCAGAGACATACCCAACGACACCAACAAGCTCTTCCTGGATTCCAACCGAATCCCTTTCCTGCCCCGCGACGCTTTCCGGGACCTGCCGCTCCTGCTGGAGCTGGACCTGTCCCACAACGCCATCGCCAGCGTCGAGAGCGGGGCTTTCCGGGGCCTGGCAGAGCACCTGCACTCCTTGGACTTGTCTTCCAACAGGCTGGTGTCGGTCAGCAAGGACGCCTTCAGCAACCTGAAGGCCAAGGTCAACCTCTCCAACAACCCCTGGCTGTGTGACTGCCGGCTGCAGGAGCTGATCCGCACGGTGGACCTGGTGGCCGGCTCCTCGGGTGGCATCGTGTGCCACTCCTCTGCTCAGGAGGAGCACGTGGGCAAAGCTTTCCTGCAGGTCATCGCCGACACGGACTTCTGCAACGTGTACAAAAAGACCACGGACATCGCCATGCTGGTCACCATGTTCGGCTGGTTCGCCATGGTGATCTCCTACCTGGTCTACTACGTGCGGCAGAACCAGGAGGACGCCCGGCGGCACCTGGAGTATCTCAAGTCCCTGCCCAGCAAGCAGCGGAGGTCGGAGGAGTCGTCCACCATCAGCACCGTGGTGTGAGGGCACCGGCATCCCGCAGGACACGGGGACGCACGGAGCTGGGGATCGGGGCTTGCCACGGCTTCAGGAGCCGTTGGGAGCTGCCACCGTCGCACAGAAGGAGCCGTGGATGTTTTGTTCTCCCCCAGGAAGTGGTGTCTGGCAGCAGGAGCCACGTCTGGTGAGTGCCAGGCTCTGGCACGGCGAGGGCCGATGCGGCTGCGGTCGGGGGCGGTTGTCGACAATGAGCACAGAGAGGCCTCAGCCTCCGCGTTACGAAGGACCAGAGAGACCCCCGAGCTCCAACCGACCTGGACATTGACTCCATTTAAAACTTTTCTATTTCCTTTGACGAGATCCCTCGGGGCATTAAGGAAATCAGTGTTTTAGTCCCTCCCTGGCTTCACCCTCGGCTGCCCCAGGGATGTTCCCGGCAGCGCCGGCGCTGGCTCCCTGCCTGGCCGGGCAATGGGCATGGCTGGGCCGTGGGGGGGAGTGGTACGGCCACGAGGCCAGTGCCCTGACGGGTCACTGGCCCCCGAAAGGTCACGGGCTGTGACCTCAGCCCAGCGGGACCGAGGGACGGGGCGGGAGGTGGGGATGCATCCATTGGGAACGGCGAGGGCAGGTCTGATCCAGCCACCCCCTCTCCCATCTCAGCCCCCGCCCCTTTCCCAGCAGAGCGAGGGGTGTGGGGGTCCCTGCTCAGAGATGGGGTGTCTGGGGGGGCAGCCCCAGCGCCTCCCCCCTCGGAGCGATGAGTTTCTGTACGAAGCAAATGGGGGATAAGTACGGAGAGGGAAATGAGCCCCCTCCATCCCGCCGCCCACCGGGGGATGCGGGCGCTGAGGGAGGGGCACTGAGGGGTCCAGGCGGGGTTGCCCTGATCCAGCCACCCCCTCTCCCATCTCAGCCCCCGCCCCTTTCCCAGCAGAGCGAGGGGTGTGGGGGTCCCTGCTCAGAGATGGGGTGTCTGGGGGGGCAGCCCCAGCGCCTCCCCCCTCGGAGCGATGAGTTTCTGTACGAAGCAAATGGGGGATAAGTACGGAGAGGGAAATGAGCCCCCTCCATCCCGCCGCCCACCGGGGGATGCGGGCGCTGAGGGAGGGGCACTGAGGGGTCCAGGCGGTGGGTCCGGCCCTGCCGGGATGTCGGGGGGAGCGGGTTTCCCCTCGGTGCTCCCCGGGGACCCCACTCTGCTCCCATCTGCCACCAGAGGAGAGCTCCAGCCCTCCCCAAGGGCTCCCCAGGCTGCCGACCCGTCACTGTGAGGGGCAGCGGGGATGGAGGGAGCCCCCACGGCTCCTCCGCCCTCTCCCCACTCCCGCGCCGCTGCCAGGAGCCTGAATCTCCCTTAAAATGCCCCAAAGTCCCTTCTTGACACTTTCAGTTATTGAGCTGCGGGTTCCTGGGGTCGGTAGGTAGAGGCGAGGCCAAGGGAGGGTGTGAGGGGGGGGTTTCAGTGCCCACCTTTGGGTGTGCGGGGTCCAAGCGGCGACTCGGAGCACGGCCAGGGCAGACCCAGCCGCTTCCAGCCGACGGTGGGTCCGGCCCTGCCGGGATGTCGGGGGGAGCGGGTTTCCCCTCGGTGCTCCCCGGGGACCCCACTCTGCTCCCATCTGCCACCAGAGGAGAGCTCCAGCCCTCCCCAAGGGCTCCCCAGGCTGCCGACCCGTCACTGTGAGGGGCAGCGGGGATGGAGGGAGCCCCCACGGCTCCTCCGCCCTCTCCCCACTCCCGCGCCGCTGCCAGGAGCCTGAATCTCCCTTAAAATGCCCCAAAGTCCCTTCTTGACACTTTCAGTTATTGAGCTGCGGGTTCCTGGGGTCGGTAGGTAGAGGCGAGGCCAAGGGAGGGTGTGAGGGGGGGGTTTCAGTGCCCACCTTTGGGTGTGCGGGGTCCAAGCGGCGACTCGGAGCACGGCCAGGGCAGACCCAGCCGCTTCCAGCCGAGGCCCCGGCCCTGTCGGAGCCAGTTTGGCTGGTTTTGCCCTTTTTGTTTATTTTTTTAGAACCAACTGAAGGGAAAATTGCCTTAATTCACCAAGAGCACCAACCAAAGCTGCTTCAACACCCTCCGTGCCAGGCCAGACCCAGCGCCAGCCACCCCGCTGTGCCAGGGGCTTTATGGCCGGGTCCGGCGCAGGGAGGGCTCCGGCCCCCGTTGCTGCCCGTCCCCCCTGGTGCCCCGGTGCCACGGTGGGCGCCGTGGGGTGGAGGTGGCCGGGGCAGTGGTGCCCATGCCCTTCCTCAAGTGCCTCCTCTCCCAGCGCAGACCAGGGGCTCTGCCACGCACAAACACCTCAGCCCCCAGCTCCCATCCAGGCGTCCCCCCGCCCCGGGGCCGACCCCGCAGCCCCACGGCAGCTCCCCCCACCCCAAAACAACCGTCTGTGGGGAAAAGGGGCTGGGGGGGACCGGACCAAGCCACCGCCACCGTGACCCCGGGTGCTGCCCCTCTCCCCCCGTGGGCATCGCTCCGGTGCCCGCGGCGTGTGGGGCCGCCCGGGACCGTCCGACCCAATATGTGTTTTGTTTAAGGGACCTTTTACGTTCTTTATACGACAATAAAGTTGGCTTTTACTTTGGAGCCCGGGCCGTGCTGTGTGTGTGTGTCTGCCCGGGGGGGGGGGGCACCCCCTGTCCCCATCCTGGCCACAAGGGCAGGGCGATGGGTGGCCCACGATGTCTTCCCAGAGCCACCTCCAGCTCTGCCGGGTGTTTCAGCAACACGATACCCGGTCCCTGTGGTAACCCTGCCTCCCCTTCAAGAAATGAACACCCGGTGCCTCGGCTCCTGCAGCGCGGCTCAGGTCACTGGCACCGTGCTGCATCCCGAGCCACGTCCTGCCCGGACGCCGTGGGGCCACCTGTGGGGACCTTGTCCCTGTCCCTGCCCTCCTGTCCCCATCCCTGCCCTCCTGTCCCTCTCCCTGCCCTCCTGTCCCCTTCCCTGCCCTCCTGTCCCTCTCCCTGCCCTCCTGTCCCCTTCCCTGCCCTCCTGTCCCTCTCCCTGCCCTCCTGTCCCCCTCCCTGCCCTCCTGTCCCTCTCCCTGCCCTCCTGTCCCCCTCCCTGCCCTCCTGTCCCCCTCCCTGCCCTCCTGTCCCCCTCCCTGCCCTCCTGTCCCTCTCCCTGCCCTCCTGTCCTTCTCCCTGCCCTCCTGTCCCCACCGGGCATCACGTGGCACACGGGGAGGGCAATGGGGACAAGCCCTTCCTGATGCCCGTGGTCCCCATGAGGGCCATGGCTCCCATGGTGGCCCTGTCACTGGTTCACTGGCACCTTCCCGTGCCGAAATGGAGGGTGAAACCTGGGACCTAACGTGGAGTGACAGCTCCTGCCGGGGGGACTTTAACCTTGTTTGTCACTTGGCTGTCTCCAGACGCAGCGTGGCACCGTGTGCCCACCACAGCCCACAGACCCCAGGCTCCCGAGCAGATGGCTACCATCCCCCACCCCGGTTCCCTCCCCAGGGACCCTCCTCCCACAGCCCCGGGAGCATCTGGGGAGGGACGGGGGGGGCACAGAGGGACGGGCGGCCCCGGCTGTCACCCCATCCACCACCCCATCCCCGGGGTCCCACTGGTGTCCCCCCACGGGGGTGGGTAACACCCAGCCCCCCCAGGGGCCAGCCCTGGTGGCCACCCCGGCTCTCCTGCCCAAGGAGGAATTAGGATGGAATCCACCAGGCTCGTTACAGCCGACACTAACGAGCTGGGGGGGCAAGGAGGTGGATTCCGGTGGCAGCCCCTGCCATGAGGGAGGTCGGCTGGTTGTGGAAGTGCCACCGGCCTGCGGGGGGGACGGGGGGATAAAATAGATAAGAAACCGTGTCAAAATCTACAGTGAGCTCCAGGGAGACAACTCGGTCTGGGATGGGCTGAATTGCACCGGATTTATAATTAGTAATATCCCATATTTAATCAGGTGTTGCAGGGAATAAGAAAGAGCAGAAAACTGGGATTACGGGACTATTTCCAGGGTGTGCCGGAGGGGTCTCGGGGGGATCAGGGGGAGGTGTGGGGCAGGAGCCTGCCAGGCACCTCCCGTCCCAAGGAGGGATTTTCCTCCTCTCACTATTTACTCTCCAGCAGCAAATTCCTGCGGGCGAACTCCTGCCGGGGGGGGGCTGGGAGCTTGGCATTAAAATCAACACTTCTCCTTAAGCCAGGAAATATAATCACCCATTTTAATCCCACGTTTCTGGGTAATTCATGCCCTGACGTAGATTTATCTGCTGGGATCAGCAAGGGGAGAATTAGCAGCGTGACCTCCTTCTGTACCACTCCAACACACCGGTAAATCTCCATTATTAACTTCTAGGGTGCTCTGCCCACCCTGGAAGGTAATTACCTAGGCGGATAATTAACTGGCCGGCGCGGGGAGGGCTGCTCTTCCTCTGTGGGATGGAGGAAAACGTGTCACTGGGGCAAGATTTAAGAACTGGGTCCTCGTTGGTGGTGATGCCTCGTCTGCCCGTCTGGCCCCAAACCCCCCGGGAGCTTTGGGGAGCGAGTGATGCTCCTGGGTCACACCCGGATCTGCTGGAAATTTGAGGGTTTATTGGGTTCTGGAGGGTGGCCTGGCTGTGGTGAGTGATGCTCCTGGGACACCAGGATCCGTGTCACACCTGGATCTGCTGGAAATTTGAGGGTTTATTGAGTTCTGGAGGATGGCCCGGCTGTGGGTCTGTCCTCCCAGCCCCACTGAGGGAGGCTCTGCCCCACATCTGCCTTCACAGAGGATGGTGTGTTTTAGAGGGAAGGGAAAACCAGGCTTTTCTCGGCCCCGGGAGCGAGGCCTGTTCGGTGGCCACAGCCCCAGGCTCCATCCGGAACTTCTAACTGATTAGATTTAGAAGAGGGAAGGAAGGATGTCTAATTGCCTAATTTCCACAATTATAAAAATATTTATAAATAATTAGAACCGATGGCAGCAATTACGCTGTGATTAAAGCTGGTCTACGCTTAATCAACAGCCCTTCAGTTCCGTAGCCCTTGTTTATTTATTTTCACCACCAGAAAAAGAATCCATTTTGGGGTGGCGTTGCTGCCAATAACGAATCCTACTTATCCACTGCCTGCGAAGGACTCGCTAATCCGCTGCTGCTGCTCGTTAGAGGAACGGTGCTGTGCAGAAACCGCGGCGGCTGGGCTCGGGCAGGAGGAAATTTAATTTGGGTGGGAAGGAAAGGAAACGGGAGCAGAGCTAAAAACCACCACGTCTCTTCCGGAGATCTCCTAAATCTTCCCCCGTTCGGTTCAAAGCCATTACCCCTCGTCCCACTGCTAAAAACCTTCTCCCCATCTTCCCCTTTAAGCACTGAAAGGCCCAGGGGGGGGACTTTTCCCTGAGCCAGGAGCCCCAGGTGTTCCCAGCTCAGCCCCACTCCCAGGTGTGATGAGTTGGTGGGATGGGACGTTCTCAGGGCACCTGCTCCCCCTGCCCTCCCTTCCCACAGCCCCTCTCCTTATCCACTGGGCAGACTGGTCTTCCTCAGTACCTCCAAGTGACCTGTGGGGTGTTATGCTGGCATTTTGGGCAACCCTGTGTGACTCTCGACTCAAATTCAGAGGAGCAGCTCCCTCCTGGGGTGATGGAGACGCTGCAGGGAGTCCCCAGCCAACCCTCCCACCGGGTGGAGGTGTCACCTCACCCCGGCAGACGTGACACCGGCTCTGTGAGTGAGTGTTTTAACATCTGCTTGTTAAGTGTTTCTCAAGTGGTTTGTTCCAGGCCGGGAAGAGGCTGTTCTGCTGTTAAAACAATGGGCTCCTGGCGGCTTCCACTTGGCAGATGATTATTTTTGTCACTGGTGGATGTTTTAAAGCCCCGGTGAGCTGTCGGTGCGGAGCCCGCGGGGAGGGCTGAGTTACCCGAGGGCTGTGCAGGGAGGGGGGTGGGAAGTTTTAAGCTCTGAATTTGTTATTTGAGAGAATTCATCCCTGCTCCTGAGCTGCCGTCAGGAGAATCCACAGAAAAGTGGGATCAGAGGTGCTTGGTTGGGGCAGCTTAAGGCAGGGCTGAGCCTCACAGGAGTGACCAGGGGTTCCCCTCCTGCGCTGAGAGCGTCGACTACAACCCACACTTCCAAGAGGAAAATGTGTAAAAACAGAGCAGAACAAAAAAAAAAAAAAGAGGATCTAACACTGGGAGGAAGGCTCTGGCAATTCCTCAACAAAAAAGAGGATTTAACACTGGGAGGAAGGCTCTGGCAATTCCTCGTGAGCTATTGCAGCTGGGAGGGGTGGAGAGGGGTGGTAAAAAGTAAAGGTGAGGGGAAGAGAGAGCTGATCGTGGGGATTTGTAAAACCTGCAGGGAGAGAGGGGTTGGCAGCGCAGGAGAAGGGGAGGGAAGGAGCTGCCAGGGACAATGTGTCATAAATAAAAGATTTTGCCGCGTTTGGGGCGAAGGCGGGGAGAGAACTGGCCCAGGAAAGGTCAGAGAGAAGCCGTTTCACATCAGTCTTTCACTAAAGGCTCCGCAGAATTAGGGACACAAACTCCTCAGCGAAAAAGAAAAACAGCGCTGAGACATTTGACCCGTTTTTCTACTTTTTAAGGCCCCCTGAAAAACTTGAGGCGCCCTAAGAGCTTCCTGAACCTCCAGTGCTGAGGAGGAGGAGAGAGTAAGCTTTTGTTGTGACTCCTTTGTTGCTGCACTTGGTACCTCCTTACTGCTTTTATCCCCTGTAATAATTGATGCGTGTGGCATTCCTCTGCTGTGAAATAGGCCAGGAGAGGGCCATGGCTGAGCCCGTCTGCTTAATCTGTATAAGCCTGCGCCGTGCACACGGTGTCCAGTTGGCAGCTCAGATAATCAGCCTAGGGGCAGTTTAAATGCTCATTACAGTACATTTTCTTCGTCGGTATTTAATAAGTAATGATTCTGAAAAGCTCGGAGCGCGGTCTGTGCCCGTACCGTCCCCTGCTGTGTGCCCGTCAAAAGGGATAAGTCAAACTGGGTTGAATCTGGTCGATTTTTTTTTTGGATGAATACCCACCAAGGAATTTCTAGATGCCATAAGAAGTTGTGGTTATTGAGTAGGAGGTGCTCTTTTGCTTGATTTAGTCAAAAAAGAAAGAAAGGAATGGCTCTGTGCTGAGTATCCAGGCTGGGTTTTCCATGGCTGGGTGTGTGTGGAGTCCCCTTTGCTTGGATTTGGGGGGGGTTTGGGCTTCAAAAGGGGCCACATTGGCCAGTTGTGCTTCACGAGGGAAAGGAGAAAAGGAGAGAGTGAGTTCTCTGGTGTCCCTTGATAAAATGAGGCGGGAAGGCAGTGGCTCCGAGCAAGGAACAGCTTATAAAGCTTAAAAATAAGTTTTAAAAGTGTGTTCTGGTGGCTCCACGGTGGCCCGGGAAGCCTGTGGTGGGGTGGTTGGTCCCGTGGGCTCGCACACACAGCCTGTGCTCTGCACCTTCTGGGGCTGGGGAGAGCTCAGGGTTACTGGGGAGGCTCTGGAGAGCAGCACAATAACCTTTACTAACAGCCCTTGGTGAGCAAAATGATGAATTGCTGCGGATCCAGCAGCGAACCTTCAAAAGCAGATCAGAGGAAGCCTTTCCTGGGAAGGAAACTTTCCCATTATCTCAGAGCTTTGGCAATTCCTATCTTGACTCATTCCTCATCCGGTGAACTTGTTGGGAATTTACAGCTGGAGTAAGAGGATCATCTGCTCGTACAGCACCTGGGGCAGGCAGAGCTCTGCTGCTGGGATTTGATGCAGCTGAAGGAAAAGATACAGCAGGAGGCAGATGGGGGGGCTCTGCAGCCCCTCCTCTTCCCTCCCTGGGATGCACCCGCTTCTTTTTGGGGAGCAGTGGACAAAAAGAGAACCGTGAAAGCCAGGTCCTTAATTCTCCTGACTTCTGGGCTGTAGAACTCGTGATTAACCCTCTCTCTTGTCTCAGGGACCCAACTTCCCACTCATCAGCAGAGGTCCTTCCCTTCATGGGAAGCCCTGAGCAGGTTGGGCTCCAATTTTGCCCAGAGCAGGCTGGAAAACTTCACACACAGAGAAAGAAACGGGGAAAAAAAAACAAAGGGAAGGCCCTTTAATGCTTTTAAATCACGAAGATTAAATACTTCTATTAATATCAGCTAGAAATTGCTCATAGAGACTCTGGCATATGTCATTATGGTACATAATTCCACTACGACTGTCTGCAATCTCTCCCTGAGTTGTTTATAGCTCCTTTATGCTCTGGGAGCAAACCACAGCACAGAGCTGCGGTGTGTCTGGTGTCACCACTGAGAAACAGGCTCTTTGCACTAACAACCATGGGACAAACATTCTTTTTTTTTTTCATTGAATTACTCTACCTTGCGTGAACACTTCATTTTAGGCATCACTCTTACAGTCTAAGTGGTCCCTGACCACACGGAAATCTAGGGGTGCCGGGGTGATGCTGTTTTGCCATTGTTCCAAGGCGTGTAGGACTCCAGAATTTGGCAGCTAAAAACGAAAAGAACATCACAAACCCAAGAGCGCTTTCACAGCTGCTCGTCGGTTTCCCAATTTCTGTCGTCAGTTTATTAGCAAGATGTTGCTCCGTACACTTTGACTTGAGATTTTGGACAAATCTGGCAGGTCACCTCGTTGTTAGGGCTGTAAGTTCCGGGACTGCAAACCACTGCAAAGAGAACAGTCGGTGTTTCAGCCAGTTCCTCTCGGCCGGGGCTGGGACCATCCCACCCCACCATCTGTCTCCCCAGTGCTGCTGGTGGGATCCTGACCTTCCCAAGCTCCTGAGCCTAAAGCTAAATACCCCCAAGTAACACCCCTAAAGCTAAATACCCCCGAGTAACACCCCTAAAGCTAAATACCCCCGAGTAACACCCCTAAAGCTAAATACCCCGAGCTCCAGAACCAGCCCTGGGTGCCGCTGGCAAAAGATCTTTTAAAGCAGTTGTGTGTTTTCTAGCAGCACCAGCATTAAGGTAATTCTTAAGCAGAATTACCTTAAGCAGTCACTAAGGAAAGAAAAAAAAACCCACTTCATCACTTCCACTTACTCTATTTGGAAATATTTACACCTATGACTGCAGAACAGACACCACCAGCTCGTTTTCTACTCCTATCCTTTTTTAAAAATCAGCACTGTGACTGTCTTTCCAACAGGGGAATGGAAATGTCACTTTTGACACTGATATTTACCAAATACTCTTCAGAGAAACCCGTAATCAGAGCTAATGAGCTGTATTTAAAGCAATGTGTTTGATATTTACCGCAGCAACTGGCGCAGTTCCTGTGGGTGATATCGTTTTTCCCAAACCCTGGTTGACAGCTGTCGATGCGAATCACGGAGAAGCTGCTGTCCACGTAGTGAATTGTAGGGATAATTCGGAGCTGGTGCTTCAAAGCATATGTCTGCTTATGGAAAAACTCCCCAATTCTATCTCTTGCCTAAAATTCAGGAACATTGGAAGAATAAAAAATAGTCAGTTGTTGTTTTGTTTTTTTTTTTTCCCCCGATTTAAAAATATCAGTAAATACTTTATAGTCCTGATTCCCCCACACTGACCTGTCACCTTAACTGGGAGCTTTCCTTTGGCTTCACAGGGCCTGGGATCAGACCCAGTACCCGATACTGTGCTTTAATGTTAAGAAGCCAGAGAGAACAGATTCTAGAAATCAGCTACAATAGATTCACTTTATACTGTGTTCCATTTACCAAATCATAAACCACAGATTTAGTTTAGAGATCTATAAGTTCAGTATACTAATATAATATTTCTATTTATTCTTAGAGGTAAATAAAAAGGAAATAATAAGCCTGATATTTTTTTTTTTAAAACTGTTTGGATCAATTTGACTTTTAAAATAAAGGAAATAATAAGCCTGATTTTTTTTTTAAAAACTGTTTGGATCAATTTGACTTTTAAAAACCACTTTTCCATCCTGAACTGATTTATTTGAAATCCGTGAATCGTCATTCACTATGATATTAATCCCATAAAATCTGGGGGAAGCTGGATTACTACCAGTCCAAATCTGTAGATGCTAAGGCAGAAATTTGTGCTAAAAAACCACTTTTCCACCCTGAACTGATTTATTTGAAATCCATGAATCGTCATTCACTATGATATTAATCCCATAAAATCTGGGGGAAGCTGGATTACTACCAGTCCAAATCTGTAGATGCTAAGGCAGAAATTTGTGCTAAATACGTGGAGGAGGCACGAGGGTGGCTGACACAGAACCTCTCGAACTCTCATGTTTGTCGCGTCTTCGCAATCATAAGGAACCTGGTGGCAAACTTCTTTCCATCCTGGTGCAAAAGGACTTACTGTGGGTGGGGGGGGAAAAGATAGATGTGTTGAAGAATATATTTCAGTAAATTCAAACAGCTCAAGCAAGCATCTTTAGGTTCATTTGAAAAAACATTGACAAATTAAATGCATTACTGCTTTTAGCATTACTGCTTTTAGGCAGAGCCCTGGATCACTTCATCCTGCTGTACCCTCTTAATTTGTAAAGAATGGTGGGTTTTGGTTTTTTCCACCTGTCTGCAGTCAAGGTCATGTTTTGAAACAATTCTTTTGAGTGGGTGCATTTGAATGTTGAAAAATGAGTGATCAATAAAAGGAGGGGAGGGAAAAAACAGACTTGGTCCTGTTGGTTTCTATCCTGTTACTTAAATTGCTTTGTTCCAGTAAGAGTTAGAGGTCAAGCAGACAAATAATGTGGGGAAAAACACGCTAAGCTGACAGGAAGAATGGAACAAAATTCTCACATAGTACCCTCAGGTTACAGAGAGGGCTGAAGTTTAAACTTTATGTAAAACAAACCTTCACGTCCTCAGTTTGTTCTGAATGTTTATTGACTTTACTGAGGGGAAAACAGCCACAAAACTGTTCCATAACCTGTTGGATGGCCCCTCTTGGGACGTGATGAGAACAGACAGAGGAGAGAATGTGGTCAAAGCATTAATGAATAACTTCCTCTCCTCCGTGATAAAACATCTCTAAATTAGGGCAGCCAGCAGGGCTGATTTAACTGGTTTTGCAAGGCGTTACAGCCACATCAGTATTACCATAAGGGAACTGTGAGGCTCCTGCTTTTAACCTCTGTGCAGTTTCCTAGAGTCAAGCAAAACCACAGAGGTCACAGACTTGTTAAAAATCAAGTAATGAAAAGAAAATATGACCATTTTCCTTTTTTAAAAAATAAAATAATAATAAAGCTATCTCCTTTTCAAGAATCCTTCCAAACTGCACACCCTGAACAGTCACGCTTCTCACTAAGGCTGGGAGATGTACAATGCTACAAATCTGACATATAAACTGCATTTTAGCTCCATCTGTGGGCTAGTGAGAAAAAATACAGGGACTCTGAAAGCAAGCAGGGGAAACAGCTTCTGAAGGTATGCTCGGCTTTTAGTGTATTTCAGACGTTGTTTATAATACTCTCAGGTTGTTCACAAAAAATAAACATTCCCTCCCAAACAAACACTGAAATCTGTTACCTTGAAATCTAACAAACAGTTCGTGCCGGAGGCCTTGATCTGGGAGCCTGACAGAATGGCATTTGCAGGAGGGCTCTACGATGTGACACCTCAGATCAGAGATGATGTTGTTTAAGATTTTCTTTAGTTCCTCAAAGAAGAGGTCGTTAGCTGTTAGCTTGCATTCCCTTGTAGTAAAGCGAACAAGTACCCGATATGCATGGTCAGCTTCTCTGTATGCTTCAAGAGAACAGTTTGTGTGAGTTCTGGGGTGTAATCACAAATTGAATCTTATACAGATTATCTCTATCTTATCGTCTCTATCAGTGTACTTTGGATCTGAAATAACGGGCTCTTATTCAAAAGTAAACAAATAAATAAAGCTTACTCATTAACCATAACAGAACATATCTGTCCTTGTCGCAGCTGACTCAAATAGTAAGAGACATTTTAGTTTGAAATGTGCAGGAATTTATGTGTTTATGTTACCAGGAGCTGCTCCCAAAGATCAAAACAAAAAAAGGAGGCAAATAGTAAAATTACACAGAACTAACATGTCTACAAAGTTGTGTAACTGAAATGGATTGGGATGATGCAATTATAGCGTAGGAGTGAACGTTCTTCAAAAATTGTTTGAAAAGTTAGTGTTTCTTCAGCACTTTTGGCAGTGTTATTTTGTGGGTGGGGAGGGGATATTGGTGAGCAGTGGTTCTGAATGGTGGAAGGCGGCCGGAGTGTGCAGCTGGGACAGAGGCCTCAGACAGGAGCTTCCTTTTCTTGGATATCACTGCAATTACTGTGGTTCACTTTGTTCTAATTAAGGGTAGAGATTATTTTATTCTTTGAGTGGCCGGATAATCTTGGTAGCAGTTATTAGAAACTTTTTCCCAAACTGGGAGGGAGTGAGTGTATGTATAAATATATTTAAAAAAAAATAAAATATATATATATTTTCTATTCTGGGAGAAACTGTTAACTAATTATTTCTTTAATCAAGCCTTGCAATAATCACGTGCTTCACAAACCCACCAAAGGCAATGTGTATCAGCTTACTAGTAAGTTAGCAATCTTACCATACACCATAAAATGATATGCCTCAGACATTTCTCTTTCTTCTTGTGTCGTAGTTTCTATGATTTTGTGAGAAAGAGTGCAAGTGTAGGCTCCAGACATAGACTCCTTGAAACCCATCACCATCAGCTTTCCTGTTTCTGTCAGATTCACATACTTTTGCCCTAGAATAGAAACAGGAAATACTTGATTACTGGAAATGTTTGGTTTCTGATGTTCAGCTTATTTAGAACATTTGAAGATGAGATCTTGCTCTTGACACTGATTCGTGACAGTCTGCAACAGCCTAAAACTGATGACCTTTAGGACTTATTGCAAGCTTCCTTCTATCTCAAGCATTTGAAAATTTTAGCAGGAGAAGAGAAACGCAGTCTAATGTCAGAGCTCGTGGAAAAAATTTACAAAGGACCAAGTGACTGTTTGGACCCATCCAATTGTAGGATGGTATCAGTAGAAACAAGGAAAATATGTCATCTCACATACAGTAATCTACTTAACCATTTGTGGTTGATTTTTTCCCCTTGTAAATAGAAAACAGAAACTATTTCTCTACCTCAGTATATTTTCCTGAGTGCCTTCCCACCCCTCAAGGGGCTGTTACTAAGTTTGTGAAAAAGTAAGGTACAAAGCCTGTTCTGTTAGTGAGTGGGGGAAAAAACGGCTAAGGCAGGCAGGGTGGAAATCCTTTGTAGTCTGGACAAAGCCACTCACCTTTTAAACTTTTTCCATCTGGACCAACCCACGAATACTTGGGATCTATTAGTTCTTCATGAGAACGAGCCAAATCCATGCATACCAGAAACGGGCTGTTTGTGAACACCTTAACGTAAACGGTAACTGGAATACAAGAGGACAAGGTGAAGGACTGTTAATGTTTGAGAGAACCCATAACAATCTATTGTCATTTAGACAATTATTCTATCACCTGATGACCCCTCCCCACCTGGAAAGGGGAATCGGGAAACACAAAGAAACGCAAGGGTTGAAATATAAATGGATTTAATAGACTTAAGGCTAAATAATTAACAATAATACTAAAGAACCAGTATTAATCCCTATACTGATATAAAAAGTACAAGAATTATACTCAGCCAATTCTATCAGCAGGAAGCTGTGCACTCCCAGCAGGGACAGCAAATGTGGGACATTGTGAGCGCAATGGCTTCAGGAGGAAGGGAAGGGCTCAGGGCTCTGGCACGGGGGCAAGGAGTTGTCTGGACCCACCACCATCAAGGGAGAGAGCTCTGCAGCAAACTTTTCTAATTTACATTGAATGTGACGTTCATGGTATGAAATAATCCTGTTGGCCAGCCTGGGTCAAATGCCCAGGCCTTGCTCCTCCTTGTCCCTGTACCTGGCAAGGCTCGAAAACACTAAAACCTTGAATCCCTCAGAGCCTGGTTGGCTATAAAGTAAATATTTTTCACAAATTCAGACACTAGAGTCTTCTAAAAGTGCAATTTTCCACAGAAAAGTTAGTCCTGTGTCTCTCAACCCAGGACGATGACATGAAATGCTTATATGGAATGAAGTCGCCAAAATACTAACTTAAAAAAATTAATGTTCTTTACGGTGAGGGTGGCAGAGCCCTGGAACAGGCTGCCCAGGGAGGTCGTGGAGTCCCCGTCTCTGGAGATCTTCAATACCTGCCTAGATTTTCCTGAGTGATGTGCTCTGGGCGTTCCTGCTTTAGCAGGGGAGTTGGACCAGATGATCTCCAGAGGTCCCTTCCAACTCTGCCAATTCCATGATTCCGTGAAGTTTAATTTTCGTGTTTGGGCTTGGAAAGTATAAAGTTAATGACTTCTCTCCGTTGGCTGTTATTAATATGCCGGAACTGTCCACGGCGCGGGGGGTGCTGACCGTGGGGAGGAGACACCCTCCCTCCCGCGCTGTGGGGTGACAAAAATCCCCAGGTTTTCAGCCCATTGCTGAGTGGGACCCTCATTTAGATGTTAAACTTTCAGAAGCGCCCATAGCCCTTGGGGCAAAGTGCTTAGAGCAGCGCCGAGGGTTGACGCTTGGACGAGGTGATATAAAAAGTTCTCTTCCAACCAAGGCAATTCTATGATTCTATATTTCTAAACCCATTTCAAACCCCTATGAAAATCATGTTCTGAAGTCCCCCAGCACCGTGTTTAGCTAAGCTTGGTGGTGTCGCTTCTGTGTGTAGCGTTGTCTACGTGGTTTTTAAAAGTTTAGTAAGACCTAAAAAAAAAAAAACAACCCAAAAAAAGATAAAAAAAGTACAAGTTTACCTTCATGTTTGATACTGCCAAAAACATAATTCTCTTCTATCAGATCTATAGAATTTTGCTCTTGCATAGGTACGGCTCTTGCTGTAGGGAAAAGGACTTTAGAATGTTATGGAGAGAAATCTAAATGTGTGATTGTTAACTTTTTATTTTGCTCTAGTGAGTTTCTGTCTCTTGCCTTACTACTTTTTTTTTTTTTTTTTCTTCCTTTCTCCTCACACCCTTTTCTGAAAACCAAGTGCTCAGACTTGCCTGTTTTTGTTGCTTTAGTGCCCAGGCTGCAAGCCTGACTCTATACAGCAGGTTCCAAGCGAGCCGAGCCTTTCTCTTTACAAAAAGCCAGTAAAATAGTTATAAAATCTAACTAGTAAGCTAAGGCTCCCCGTGACGACCCCAAGGAGAACCAGGATGGGTGCGACGTGGTGACCGTGGGAGGGTATTGAGTTTCGAGGCATTGGTGAGGCTTTGCCTTTGGGGAAGCAGTGGGCAGATGTCTGGGCACGGGGGTTTCCGTTACGAGAGCCCTTGGGAACGGTAAAAATGGTGACGATTTGTGCTTTTTCGGGCCACGGTGGCACCTCAGGATGGCTCCGTGTGACCACTGCCACCCAGGGCTGAGGCGAGAGGGAGAAGGCGCTGCTGGGACCCCCCCATCTCCTCACTTAAAAGGAGATTTTATGGCTGAGGGAAGGTCCTGCAGAGCACGGCCTGTCCCCAGGCCTGAGGCCTGTCCCCGGCCCCCCCTGAGGAACCGCCGCCCTGGGGGGGTGTGTGTGGGGGGGGGAGGCCGCCCCCAGCCCTCCCTACCTCCGCTGGGACCACCCCAGCCCGCCATCACGGCCGCCACGGCCGCCATCCCCGGCTCCTCGCCCTTCTCATCCTCACCCTTCTCATCCTCACCCACACCCCGCACCTTCTAAATGTTCTTTGTATTATTATTTAGTGGGTTTTTTTGTCTTGGAAGGCTCTGACGGGCGGTGGGGGCAGCCCCTCCCCGGGGCTCCGGCCCTGTCACACCTCAAGGCCAAGCTTGAGAAACAACCAGGCTGCTCCTTCACAGCATGTAGAGCAATTTGTTGGTTTTTTTTTTAAAAAACTCTGTAGAAAGCAGCGTTTCCAGCTATGTGGGCAAGGGTAGGAAACTCCAGGGGGACAGGCTGTGGTCTGTCTGCTCCATGATCCCAACCTGCCCCGACGCCGCAGGGACGGCCTGGCTGGTGCCCCCAGCTCCTGGTTTTGAGGTGACGGGGAGTTGTGCAGGCCGGGGTGTTCTCCAGCTGCAGGTTTCTGGAACGAGTCATTACGGGACACCGTACTTTCGGCTTAAAAAAACAAGAAAAACATTCCTGCCACTTGCTGTGAGAAAGACTGAAAAATAAGAGCCAGGCATATCCTGTTGGCTCAAAAACAGAGCCGAGCGCCACATTATTACTTGAAGTACTCAGTGGTTTTTAAGTCAGTTACATGTTTTGCAAGGCTTGCTTATGACTTTTAAGCTCTTAAAAGTAGAAATATTTTGTTTCTAGAGTGGGTGTTATGAAAATACTCAGGAAACAGCTGAACGAGGAGAGGAGGGAACTTCCATTTGACCACACTGCACATGGCGAGACCCCTCAAGATCAGGAACCATGGCCAAAGCTCTGCAGCCCCAGGCTACGCCAGGGTCCAAAACTGATGTGATAGTATTTGCATAACAAATACAGAACCAGCCAACACAGGAATGATAGGTATTTTTGTAGATAGCTGCAAAAGTTTTAATTCGATGCTTCCATGTAAAAAAACCCCACCACCTAAGTTACGAGTTTTCTTTAATAAGAAAAAGAAGTGTGAAAAAGAAGGTAGCAAATTATTGATAGAAGATACTTTCACTCAAGCCTGGTGGCATTTTAAATTAGCGTCCCTCTCGTTTCATGTCTTGCAAAACTCATTGCTCTACTAAATGTGTGCACTGCCTCATTATCGTACTTCTCTCTCTCTTTGCAGGGAAGCGGCCACGCTTTCTTCTTCCTTAGACCAAGATTTAACTCTCAAGCGGTCGGTTAAGGTGTAAAAACTATGTCAGGGTTTTCATTTTTAATTTCCTTGAGCGGCTGAGCTGTTCATCATTAGGACCACCTCAAAAGATCCAGCGTTCCCATGTGTTGAATGTTTTCAGTTTTACTCAAAGTTAACATTTCACGCTTACCCCCATGTAGGCAAAATGATTCAGTTTTTAACGCGTCTGCTATAAACTAGTCATATTTCAGTCTGAGCATCCTCTGTTCCTAAGGATGTTTATAGCCTGTTGTCGTGTAACTGTCCTGCACAGCCCCTCGGTCCCCAGCTTGGTAATTATTATAAAATAGTATCTTTACTATAAAGCTTTGTCTGCAGTTTTGAATCTTTATGAACTCAGGCTCTTGGTCTGTGTCTTTATTCAAGTGACTCGTTCCTTTTCCAGTCTATGAGATTTCTAAGTTACAGACTGATAAATTGTTGCTATAGATTTGTAAACTCGGGGGGAAAAAAAGCTGGTTATCTTTGAAGAACAGGGTAATGGCATAGGGGTAGGATTTGACAGGGCAAAATGTGCAGAGGAGGGGAAAAAAAGCTGGTTATTTTTGAAGAACAGGGTAAAGGCATGGGGGTAGGATTTGACAGGGCAAAATGTGCAGTCATGTATTTATGCATTACTAGGTGTTTTTCCCAACAGCTAGAACTCCTGTCAGTAGGAAAGGATAGAAGAGGAAAAAAATTGTGATCTTGTTGATTGTGGTGTGCACAGATATTTGATCATTACAAAGGCAAATATTTTTATCCTAGGAAATAAGTGGAGATATTTCCAGGAGCACAGGGTCGTGTGAGTCTGGGTGTTATCCCGGATGCAGAACACAAGTTTTGTCTCTCATCTTTAAGGTGGGCGACCTAAAGCAGGGATAATGCAAAGGATAATTTGCCATGATGAAGATGGGCTGGCAAAGCCAGGCTCTTCTGATTCAGTCATGTATTTATGCATTACTAGGTGTTTTTCCCAACAGCTAGAACTCCTGTCAGTAGGAAAGGATAGAAGAGGAAAAAAATTGTGATCTTGTTGATTGTGGTGTGCACAGATATTTGATCATTACAAAGGCAAATATTTTTATCCTAGGAAATAAGTGGAGATATTTCCAGGAGCACAGGGTCGTGTGAGTCTGGGTGTTATCCCGGATGCAGAACACAAGTTTTGTCTCTCATCTTTAAGGTGGGCGACCTAAAGCAGGGATAATGCAAAGGATAATTTGCCATGATGAAGATGGGCTGGCAAAGCCAGGCTCTTCTGATTCTGCCCTTGATACGAAAGCAGAGAGAAGACATGATTGAGTATCTGGTGGTAAATGTGAGGGGAAAGTAAGGGTTTAAATGAGAGAACAACTCTGGCAGTAAGAGAACATAGGCCATAATAATTCTGGGGTGGAAAACGGAATCACACAGTAGGTTCTGATCATCACACAGTAGATTACAGAGCTTCCATAACGTTCATAGGAGCAAGAAACCTTCCTAATTATTAAATGGTTCTGGAGGGGGAATACAGAGATTGTCTGGAACAGCAGAGAATTGGTCTTGATTATCCCGGCTATCGTTTTGTTGTTTTGTTTATTTTTTAACATTCTATTTCCAGGATCTTTTTCCGAGTGACGGAAAAGCATCAATTTAAGAAGCAGTCATTGACACAGCACAGACAGTAAGTAGGAGAATCACATTTCCATTCTGTTTTGCTGTTGCACACCTGAGCTATGGGAATTTACACTCGCTCTCTGGTTTTATGTTTAAGTGATCAGGTCAGATCACAAATTTATTTGCCGCTTTGTTAACTTCTAGAGTCTCAAGTGTTGTTACTGGTTTCTGGACCTCTTTGTGGAAATCATGTAGCAAAGGAACAAAAATGTATTAAGCCTCCATCAATCTTGTCACCCCAAAACGTTAATTCCTTAATTTTTAAAATATAGCTGATTGAAAGGGCCAAAAAAACCCTCAACCCAAAAGCACACTGTGATGAAATAAGTATAAAACTGTAACAAACAGTTGCAGCAATAGCCCTGAGGGTCCCGAAGTGCCCTGGTTGTGCTGAACTTTCCATCTACAGCGTCTTGGGGTGGTTGTTTTTCCTTTTTCTCTCTGGCTCATCAGAGTTCAGAGCTGCAAACACCAAGTGTGGTGTTGTCGAAGCGCGCCAGGTACGGCCTGTTCTGTGCTGATGTTCTCTGCTGATCTCAGATCTAGGCCAGCTATTATCTTTTTAGGCCTTTTCTCGGTAAATAGGTGTGGGCTTTGGGTGAAGCCAAATGCCAGGAGTAGTGCTTAGCTTGCAGATGAAGTGGAGGTTGCCTTGGTCTGGCACAGCTCGTGCTTCCTTGTGACTTGTAGGTGGTTTTGGGTCGGAAGGGACCCGTAAAGGTCACCTGGTGCCACCAGGGACATCCTGCACTGGGTCAGGGTGCTCAAAGCCCCGTCCCAGCGCTGTGTAGAGGGAGCCTCCTTTCAGACTTCGGTACAAAAGTTGTCATTTATCAATTCCCTGAGCACTAGGAGTGAAATTAATCCTTGTTTTAATTTATTGCGCGATCTTGCAACTCGATTATTTTCAAAATAGCGATGCTACTTTGATAGGAAAAACAGCTAACTTTGCATGAGTTTTATTTGACTCTTGATCTCAGCCATCTAACTTTAATGAACGCTTTAATGAACGAGGAGGGCGATCTGCTAAGGAATAATGCGAAGGAAGCAGCACGTGTTGAGCAGCCGAGGCTGCCTCAGAGCCTTTAACACCATGTGTACGGGGGGCCAGGACAAATGGCACACAAAGGAAATGAAGTCTGTAGAAAAGAAGCTGCTCTTTCTGGTGCGTGGGCATCGCGGCGTGCAGTCGCCCCCCCTCTTTCCCCCCCCCCCCC